TACAAACTTTACAACTAATATTATTATTAATATTATTTTATATCAATATTGATTTTTGTAATCAACACAAAAAAGTTTTTTTTTTTTTTGTGTGTTGATTACAAGGTGCCAAGCAAGAAACGGTAACTTGGAAAGGATCTTAGCTCTAGTTTTCTAGATCTTAGGGTTAGTTTTGATTTCATGTAAACTTTATTTACTTTAACAAACATTCCTTGTCTTAGAGGGAACGAACCATCAGTTTGTGAATGACAAACTGAATTTAATTTGCATACAAAAACATCATCAAATTTGCAGATGTGCATCACCTCCCAAAGCACAGACAGGAAGACGCTTAATGATTCAGCGCACACCAACTAATGAGGTCACGGCATGATGTCATTCATCAGCACATCCTCATCCCACACCTCTCTAATGGAAAACTAATGGTGAACGACCCTAAAGACGTCGCGTCTTCAAGCCGTCACTTCCCTCCAACCGTGGAAAAATCAGGACAAATGTCAGAGCAGAGTCAGAGTTAAAGAACCGCCTTCAGAACATCAGTAGAACCACTGGGGCTAATTTTGGGGGCGGCTGAAGACCACATGATGATCAAAGACATATTTTGGAACGAAATTGATATGGTATATAGTGATCATCATGTCAAACCGCACTCGTAGAGGCCTGGGGGGGGAAAAAAAGCACAAAGGAGGACCGAAATGAGGTGGGAACTGGCTAGAAACAGGGACTACGGGCTGTGCAAAACATGATATTATGACATTAGCCACTCAGCTCACATACGTAACCTGAGACGTTTCATTGTATAACACTGTTGAAATACATAAAGTAATACAAAATAAACAATTCACATTACAAATGCCTGCAAAGGGCACCAAAGGCCTGATAATTGCTGCTGTTACACTTACAGGACGATCAAAACCTTGTTTAATGTTGACCAAACATTTAAATCAAATATCCACTTAATTTTTTAATTTTGGCCACCTTTTTGCGATAGAAATGCTACAGCATCTTTAATTTCTTCAACAAAAACATGTGGACATCACAACCCTTACCAAAATTAATCATGATTTTATCGTAGTAAAACTGCTTAAATTTTTTTTTTTTGGCGAGATTTCTGAATGCTTGAGACCATAAAATCAATCAGACAATGGTATTAATAAAAGCATAGCCATAGTTAACTGTCTAGAGCTACAATTGTAATTTTTTAATTACAATTTATTTACTTATCTGATGTTCTCCGCGAACATCGTTCTAAGCTCAGGGCTGCTGAAACTGTGGGGCGTAAAACCAAAAATCCTACTGACCTTAATGTGTATCAGTCACTCCTCTCTTCCTTCTCTGCTATTGTCTCCACTGCTAAAAGGACATACTACCATAACTGCGGCAGCAAGATAAATTTTTAATTAGTCAAAAAGAATGCACGTCACACCTCTGTTTATCAATTTGCACTGGCTACTAATAGCTGCTCGCATAAAATTCAAGGCATTGATGTTTGCCTACAAAACCACCACTGGCTCTGCACCCCTTTACCTAAATTCATTACTTCA